TAATACCCTAATACCCTAAGCCCTAATACCCTAATACCCTAAGCCCTACCCTAACTCAGTCAGTGAAAACGATTCGTGGGTCAAAGGAGCAGTGTGAAATTACCGTAATGGTGCCAGACTCAGTAACATCTTTCCAACCACTTAGGAAAAAGTATGTATTCACGTTATCAGGATCTGGCTCATGAACTCCCTCCTCACACCACCTATGACCTTCAAAAGAGGTATCAACGTCGACGTAATGAATGACAGAAGTACCAATCTCTGTATTTGCTGTCTTGACTGCGGCCTCGATGGCCTGATTCGCACTTTGAACGATATCATTGAACTCTTGTCTCACGTCGGTAGTCAGCCAAACTTCACGGGGGTCTGATTTTAGCCAATCGGCGAAACTGCCCGAATAGTAATGCTCCCAGCCCCACATAAAGGTAGTGTAATTACAATCCTCGTTATCACCATTGAAAAATTGAGGGTATCCGGTGACGTAGAGATCGAATTCCTAGAAAAATTATTAGACGACGGAACTTATTCAGAGGAAAAAAGTGACACCGAATAAAGAAACTTACTGTATCTCCAGCTTTCGTTGAGATATTTTTATAGATCTCCTTCAACTGATATTGAAAGCCATCTTCGCTTGTATCCGCTATCAGGGCTGTCGCAGCTGCTTTATAATGCGAGCACCACCAGCGGTCCCAGTAAAGCACAGGAGAACGGTACCACCTGAGGAGACAGTGTTTAATGATATCTGTGAATCCAAGATCATTACCACCAATGGACAAAGTTCCGAAACTGGCATTATTCGGGTTTTCCCACAACTCAATTTTGTTGTACAGCCCGTTGAATTTGTCTCCAGAGCAAGCCAGATTTTGGAAAGTAAGGTTAGAGTCATCCAAGCTATTATAGATCAACTGGCCGTAGCTGCTTGATCCAATGCGACAGGAGTCTGTAGAGGTAGAACCGGTTCCTAGTCCCGCTGCATAGGAGTCACCAAAGTGAACATACCCTTCAGTGGATACTGGATCCTCAAAAGGATCATCATCGTAAGTTGAAGTAGGACAAGAATCACGTTTGGTGGTAGGAAGTGTAGGAAGTAAGATACTTCTTTCACACTTAGCTGAAAAGTAAACTCCAGCAGCCAAAAACGCAAAATTATCAGCATTGTGGGCGGAAAATTCCGCAGGGCAGATCCCTTCTTTACCATTAGCATCCGGACATTGAGGAGGCGGAGTTTTTTTTTTTTTGTTCCTCCTGGATTATAGTTCACACAGCTCCGGTCAAATATACCAAGAGGAAGTTGGTAACAACCATTAAAACCATAGGCATAATCTTGGGTCCTGGGTATTTAATTAAAATAATTATCCTGAGGTAGAGATTTTGAAAGTGAGACTTACTTTGTTTTTCCAAGCATAGCATAGCTTGTGTGTGTCATTTCATGTAGAAGAACAACTGCCCTCGACCTATGTGCTTGTCGCAGATTGATAGAATCACAGTCACTAAGCCTGCTTTGAGTGGACATAATATCATTTGTACTGGGATTTGCAGCAAAGAATGCAGTACAGAAATTCAAAGTTCTTTTTCTATCACTCATGTGCGCCTTATAATTTGACATTTCACAAAACTTGGTGTTGTCATTACAACTGTATGTGACTTGGTAGTCTGATGCGCTACCAGCAAGCATTTTCGCAATTCGAGTGAAGGTCTCAGCAGTGTCACTTGCAAAATTGGCCTCATTTCTTACTGAACTTGCAAAGAAGGTTTCGTAGTATATTCCACTCTGAAGATCGGCGGCTGTGGCGGTTGCAACATCCACTGCATATGCCAATTCAGTAAGAGCGAGTGATTTCTGTGCAGTAGAGCAGGTCTTGCCCTCTTCAGTAGACCATATAACGGAAACTGGCGTTGTCGTCGTTGTGATCACTGTATATTTACAAGCAGCAGATGGGCAGTATCCCCGGCTACAAGTGAAATCGCAGAGATCGTCAAGAGAGGAATCAACACCGTCAGCAGCCTCACCAGTACCATTTGTCTGGGCCGGTGAAGTCACGAGAGCCCCCGTCTCAGTGCAGGTGCAGAACTGGATTGGACAGTAGCCATAATTGCATGCGTAAGAGCACAGTCCAGCATTATTTCCATCTCCAGTTCCTGCTATACAAGCTGGGGGGAGGAAGTCTGATACCGTTGGGACGGGCATTGCATGCTCTGTCGTATCACAAGTTTTGGTTGGGCAGTAGCCATAGTTACAAGAAAAGCTGCATAGGCCTTCATAGTTAGCATCTTTGCCCTCTGCAGGATAACCTGTCACACCTGTGGCGTTGGGCTTCGTGCGTGGAACTCCCATAGCCTCACAGGTACAAGCACCATCTGGGCAATACCCATACTTGCATGTAAAATTGCAGAGCTGATCAAAGTCATAGGCACCTTTTCCTTGAATACATGTCTGGTTTGATAGAGGAATCAAGGTACTCGCATCTGTGTCGTAGGTGCCTGTGAGACTGCCGACCCAGGCATTGTAATTGGCGACGTCTCCATCACAGCTACTCGATATCTTCAGTCCCTTAGCTGATGCGATCGCAAAGTCGTCTTCATAAAGTGTGACTTCAACTTCACCCGAATAAAATGGTACACTGCCGAAATAAATTCCAGGGCCAATCTCAGAGTCAGGGCTGAAGTCCCACTCAACATCCACCAAATCACTTCCAGTGGTCACTTGAACACCGTAATTTGCGTCAGAAAGTAGAGCCATAACATTAATCCTATTTTTTAACACATCCTTTGGATCAAATTCAATCTGTAGCTGAGAGGCTGTGTTGACAGTAGTGTTACCAGTCGAGCAGGCAGAGATTGGATTAGGCCGATACCAGAAGATGACTGTATCTTTACCCATTGTCGCTGTGCCATCTTTATAAAGATCAATAAGAAATGGCAGAACATCGCGCCAAGCATCATGGGGATAGCCTAGAGCATAATTATAGTTCGCCTCGCCGATCTCAAAGGCGGCCATCGATGTGTCGCGTAAAGGTCCAATGTAATGAGACTCTCCGTAATCATTCCAAGAGATGATTTCCACGAACTCTGGTGTTGAATCAAGCGAAAGGAGCTCTTGCCATCGGTCAAACCATAGACTATCACCTTGCCATAGCCAATTTTTGTCGTATCCTTTGAGATTTGTGTAGAACCAAGGAGACAGTGCAAACATGTATGGCTTGTCATCAAGATATTGTAGATATGAGGCGTCGGTATAGGTGTCCATGGTCAGATTCCCCCATGGCCAGGCAGCCCAGCTAAATAAGCCATCGGCCACCCCGTTTGCTAGAGCAAGAGCAGGCTTTGCGCCCACAGAGGACCAATCGGGCATAAAAAAGCAATTTGTAGTTGCTTTAATACTAACCCAGTCTGTTGCACTATCAGGTGTGAAGGGCTAAAGCTAATCTTAAATTCAGAACTAGCTAGGCACATGCTGTTTACAAAATCCTTGAAGAACGTGAACAATTCGGGGTGGAATCGTGAGGTATGCGGTTGGTGGGTCACGTGGTACAACCACGTGATAGTTCACCAGGATTCAACCTGTTACAATACCCCCCTCCTATTCTCCTGTTTTCCGGGGTCCATTCGAAGTCGTAATTGGTCCGTATCGTAGTTCAAAGGTGTCGAGAGCTGTGCAGTTTTCCATTGCGTCGATAGGTTCCCATGTCAGTTCTGCGTATCCTCGCCATTTCACTAATGCTTCCCTCCGCGATCCACGTCCAATTTTTCGCGTCCTTGCTTGTAGGATCTCTTCAATTTCGTATTCCAGATCTCCTTCGACTAACAGCGGAGGCGGTTGCGAATCGTCCACGATTTGTGACGGTAACGGGTCCGTTGCCGCGGGTCTTATTAACTCAACATGGAAGACAGGATGTATGCCGCTTGGCACATCCAGCTTCACTGTATGAGAGGATGGCACTTCTAGAACTGTGTATTTGGCGTGAAGCCAGTCTAGTTTCTTTGAAGGCCGTATCGTGCGTACATTCCGTAGGTTTAGCCATACTTTATCGTTGATATTATAGACTGGAGCGGCTCGTCTTGAACGATTCGCTTGTTCCTGTTGGCGTTCTTGGGCGATAGCCATCGCTGCATTTGCCCAATCGGTGGCGTCTTGTAGCCGGTTCGTGAACGTTTCCGCTGCGATCTCTGGTCCTTTCTCTGCTTGGACTTCTATCACTTCGACTGGATCGACATGGTATCCGTGTGTGAAGAAGAATGGAGATAGTCCAGTAGAGGTTGCGTCTCGGTTATTGATCGCCATGGCTACGATAGGTAGTAAACTTGCCCAGTCGTCCTGTGCGTACGTAGTAAAGGCGCGTAGAATTCGTTCGACTTCTTGATTTGCGCGTTCCGTAGCTCCATCAGTTTGGGGGTGGAATGCGGTAGATAATCGGCGTCGAATCTTTAGCTTTTCGCACACGATTCGCCAGAACCCCCCTACGAACTGTGGGCCGCGGTCACTAGTGATCGCTATCGGTAAACCATGATGCATATAAATATGCTTCATAAAGACATCTGCGACGCTTTCCGCAGTAATACTATGCATATCTATTAGGATCACTCCTTTAGATAGCCGATCAGTAATTACTAGACAATTCGTCGCTCTTTCTTTCCCAGTGGGTGGAAGTTCTGTGATGAAATCCATGGATAGTTCGGCCCAGATTCGTTGTGGAATCGGTAACGGTTTAAGTAGGCCTTGCTTCGAATCTCTCCAAATCGTGTTTCGTCCGCAAATGGTGCAATTCCTTAAGAATCTCCGTACATCGTTCGTCATTCCTGGCCAAAAGAATCTACGGGCCAGTATCGTATAGGTTGCGTCCCGTCCTGGATGTCCAGTCGTGTAGGAATCATGGACCTTCTGGATCAAGGTTGTGCGTAGTGGTTCGTTGTCTGGAATCCATGTCCTTTTCCTAAAGCGTAGAAGATTTCGTTCATCTAAGTCACACTCGGATAGGCTTATTTTCAGGTTCGATTCGGCAGGGATTCGTCGGTCTCCCTTTTCAAGTGCGAGTGCGAACTGCTGGTATATTTGATCTTCCTTCCGCGCGTTATTCCATGCTTCCTGCGTTTCTGCTTCTTCAAACATCGCCACTGGTATATCAAAGTCTAAAGGTAGACTTGGTTCAGTGCTATTGTTACGGATTGTTACTGATTCGAAGAGTTTCCGGAAACGATTCGTGAGCCTCTCATCAGAGATTCCTTTAGGTTCGTCTTGTCCTCGCCGGGATAGAGCATCTGGTTGGATCGCCTGTTTCCCGGGTCGATATCGTAGCTCAAAGTCGAATTCGGCCAGGATGTCTGCCCATCTCATTTGTCGTTCGCTTAGATCCTGCGCCTTATGAAAGTATCGTAGATTTTTGTGGTCCGTTAAGACCACGAATCGCGGGACCATCTTCAGCTCTGGCTTCCATTCCCGTAGCGCATGGATGATAGCGAGTAATTCCTTATCGTGTATCATATAATTGGTCTCTGCAGGTGAGAACTTACGCGAGAGATAGGCGCATGGTCTTAGTGTCCCATCTTCTTGTCTTTGTGATAAGACTGCTCCTGTCGCCCATCCAGATGCGTCTGTTTCCACTATTGTTTCGGTGTCTTCTCGGAAATGAGCCAATATTGGTGCAGAGATAAAGAGGTCCTTTAGGGTCTCGAATGATTCTTGTTTCTCCTTGTCCCATTTAAATATCGTATCTTTCTTTGTCAACTGCACCAATGGTGCAGAGACATCTGCGAATCGTGGTATAAACGTCCGGTAGAAGTTAGCGAATCCAACAAAACCACGTACTTCTCGGATATTAGTAGGTGCTTCCCATAGCTTAATGGCTTCAACTTTCTTCGGGTCTACACATAGACCTTCTCCAGCTCGTATGATGAACCCTAGGTATTTCACAGAGCTCTGTTCAAATTCAGATTTCTCGATATCGCATTGAAGTCCAGCATCTCTTAGCTTCTGGAGCACCTCGCGTACTTTTCGTCTATGATCCGTGATCGATCCGTCGGAGTAAATAATGATATCGTCCACATATGCTGACACAAACTCGTCGAGAAATTCGCGTAGAACTTCATTGATATACCGTTGGAAGGTTGCGGGAGCGCCAGTCAGGCCAAAAGGTGTAACTAGCCACTCATAGAGCCCGTATCGTGTTCGAAACGCTGTCTTCCATTCTTCGCCTTCCTGCATTCTGATCTTATGGAAAGCCGCTATGATATCGAGTTTGGTAAACCAGCGAGCCTTCGACATGTTTCGTAGTGTTTCTTGAATCAGAGGTAGGGGGTAACGGTCCTTGATGGTTATGGAGTTTAACCCTCTATAATCGACACAGAATCGGATGCCTCCACCAGGTTTTCGTACTAATAACACCGGTGAAGCTGCTGGCGATTTGCTGACTCGTATGAATCCTTTTCCCAGTAGATCGGTAAGAGTTTTTCGTAGAACTAATAGCTCTTCTCTATTCATTCCATATAATGGCCCATGAGGTGGTGTCGATTCGTTACCATTTCCATCGCGTGTCAAGGGTATCTTATGATCGATCCCTGGGCGATGGCTCGGAAGCTTGTCTGCTTTCTCCTGGCTAAAAACATCTAACCAAGGGAGATATTGTGGGGGAAGTTTAGCTCTCGGATCGGTGAATTTCTTAGGTTGCAGCGCCTTGTCGATATCGTCCATAGTCACTTTGGCTATTCGGAGGTGGTCCGGCGACGAAACGCTATCGAATAGTTCTTTGATTTCTCCCGCAGATGATTGCTGTACTTTCAATCTCTTTACTTTTATTGGACCGATTGACGGGTCGATACGGTTCCAACAACGAATGCGCTCTCCATTTCTCGAATGGATATCTAAATACCCTCGTTTCGCAGCGTAAACTCCGTCGACATCTTTTAACCAAGGCGTCCCAAGTATCATTTCGTCTGACTGTCTTGGAATGATGTAGGCAAAGACTTTCTGCTGTTGTAGTCCATTAACATCAAGATCGAAGTATGTGGCCTGAGTGATCCGTCCTTGATTCTTGATGACTCCGTTCAGGATTCGCGGTGGAATCGGGATACGCGGAAGGTTAAGAGATTGCGCTAGGTGTCCGCTGATAGATGCATAGCTATCGCTTCCGTTGTCTACTAAAGTCTTCGCGAATTGAATTCCATTAACTCTAGCATCGACATAGAATGACGCCTCTTTCTTTAGCAGCTTCTCAACCCCCTTCTGCTCCTGCTCGCGGTTTAGTGCAGGAGCTAATCTTTTCCCGAATCATTCTCCGCTTCATCTTCTTCGATCGCTGGCGAATACTCCCTTCTTCGGGGGTGGCTCGATCTTGGTTCTTCGACTACTGCATTCCGTACCACTACTTGGTTCGGATTCCGTGCGGGCAGTAAAGGGCATATACTTTGCCAACAGTTATCTCGACCACATCGTAGACATCTCTTTTCTGTACGGCGACGTTGGAGTTCTTCTTTCTCGACCCATTTTGCACGTTTTCCCACGAGATGTTGATCCTCTTTACGAACCTGTCCCTTTTCGTTCACGAATCGGGACGAATTCGTCTGTGTGGTGTTCGTGTTTACTGTTGGAGTCCAGTCCATCCTATCCTCTGTGGCTATGGTTGATTGATCTCTTTGGATTCGCTGGCGAGTGGATAACTGGCGTCTGCCTAATGCGATATTCAGTGTCTCGCTATCAGTGTCGATTTCGTGGAGCCGTGTGATAAGACCTATAAAATCATAGGGAACACCACGATTCATAAGCGAATTCGTCATATCTTCGTTAAGAGCGTTTAGTAAGAGTTGTCGTTTTGCTTCGTCGTGCCATTCGGTTGCACCAGCATCTGCGAGCTCTCTTTCTAACTGGGGAAGGAATCGTGAAAAAGGCTGGTCGGGCTTCTGTTTAAGCTGATGTAGACGCCGAGCTGCTCGTGATCGAGCGTTAGGGTCTCCATACATCCTCTCAAGATATTCCAGAAGCATATACGGGTTGCCTTCGCTTCGTTGTGTCTTCACAAACGTTCCGGTGTTCTTGGCGGCCATTTTCTCTAGGCGGGAAAATGTATAGAGGAATTGCTCTTGTGGGGTACCGATGGCAGCTCCGTCTACTAGCAATTTGTTCTCTATCGAGATTCTCCAGGTTGGCCAATCAGAGATGTTTCCTGCATACATCGCGGGGTCGGGGAGACGAGGGCGAGGTCGTCGACTCTGGTTATTATCGCTGGTTGATTCGATTGGTATCCCTTGTGGTTCCGTGGGTGGTTCGGGAGCGGCCCGCTCCTGGGACCGAACCACTAATTCTTCGAGTCTTCTAATTCTCTCATCGGTACTAATACTTGTCTGACTGATGTGCTGCATCAA